ATCAAGTTTGGCATGCCATCGTCAACATTTTGACAACTTTTTAAAATTTAAAATTTTTTGCAGTGCCAAGACTCACTAATTTCTTACGTATTTTACAAAATATTTTTAAAAAACCATTCGGAACACAAATAGACCATTTTTCAGATTTATACACATCAAAAACACCAAAAGTTATATTATCCATGATCTCATGCACAATATCTAACCAAGTACTCCACAATCTAAAAAAATAAACTAAATCTCATATATTATCATCAACAAACCATATTTAAAAACTGTAACACTTAAAACACGCAAAAATTATATTATCCATGACAACACCTCATTACCCTCAAAAAAACCAAAATTTCCCGACGAAATTTTTAATTTACAACCTCAAAATTTACAGGATGAGAACGGCATTCATCTGCTGCATCTATTGTATTCAGGATCCAGCAGTAAATAGAAAAAAAACACTCGAAAAATCAGTCGAATATCTAATTAGTTATCCTTCATTACCCCCACAAAGTCTCTAATCCATTATAAATCAATGGTTCGGTTGAATTATTTGTCGAAATCGCATAAAACAGATTAAAATGTATTCAAAAAATGTATTTTTATATAAATAGTACCCAAAATAGATCAGGAGAGCGCGTATTTTATAAAAGAAGTCGTAAACTTTGCAATTTACGTCCATTTCCCTAAAATCATATCCATTTTCTAAATGCATATAATTTCACGTTTTTCTTCCATAACGATGAATGATGGCATTCGAATTGAATTTCTTTAAAAAACTGTTAAATTCCAATTTGTTTTTTGAAACCACAACATTAAAAATGTCACAAAATAATTTGTTTTACAGTATCTTTAGCAAAAATTTGAAAAACTAAAGTTTAACACCAAAAAAGTCTTATTAAAACACCATTTTTACCCTTAAAATCATGCTTCAAGCCAAAATCAGCCCAATAAACTCAATATTGTACGCCTATAAGAGTCATATTTATGCGTATAGCAAATAGAAACCACCAAAACAAGAATATATGGGACAAAACGTCACGCGATCAAGTCGCCGGTCGTCGTTTATGACCTAATTATGGACATTTAAGACCCGCCATTAACGGAGGATGGCCTTAAGTGGAGTGGAAAGTTCACAAAGTCGTTAAACTGGAAGGCTCTTGCAGAGTTTGGAACTGTTTCATTAGTCAATGGGAAATTTTTATTGTTTTGCTTAAGGGCTTTTGGTTTTAAGAATTTCAAAATTTAAAATTTTTGGCTTAAAACTGGTACTATTAGGACATTTGTGAGGCTGGTAAAATACGTAAAACCTTAGAGTCAAAATAGCATATTTAAGGCAAGGCTAGGGCTTAGACCAGGGTTAGCAAGGGTGAGGTAAAGGTAAGACAATAGGGCAAGGGCTGGAGCACAAGGCTAAAGGGGCTCTGGGATAGGGCTTTGGGCTACTAGTACCAAGAGTACTCATTTAGTACCTAGCCAAACTTTATAATACCAAAATAAAAATTTTTAATAAAAATTCACTACCAGTATCCCAAAAAAGACTTCTGCACTACTAGTACCCCACTAACACTAGTATTACCAAAATTCGGCTAATAATACCGAAGTGAAAATTACAGTAATAAAGTTTAAAAAACGAAATAATAACGTCAAACGACGTCATTTATTTGAAAATAAGCCAAGTTAAACAAAAATGATTTTGAGTCTGGTTCAAGTAGCAAAAAGCCATTTCCAAAACGTTTTCAAAAACTCGGTTTTCACTTCCAAAATTTTTCAAAAATGAGCCCTTGAGAGGGCGCTTAAACCCTTTCAAGCCTTTGAAAGCGCCGTTCAAATTTTGAAAAATTTGCGAAATTTCAAACTGTGCCACGTGAAAGCGACTTTTTTTAAATTTGAATTTCGAAAAATTTTAAAAATTTTATTTTTTTTTTGAAAAAAAGTGAAAAATTTTTGAAACGTCATAATAAAATGGCATACCTTACCATTTACAACCATATTATGCTTATTATAAAAGCATTTCTACTCCTCTTGTTACCTAATCTTTGTTTGTTTAACGTTAAAATTTCGGGAAAAAACCAAATTCCCCCTCCCCCCAACAAAAAATGTTAATCCATTTGCGGAGGGAAAGGAAAACATGAGTAACATGACTTAATCCCGGCTACTTAGCGCATCTCCTAATCTGGTAAGACTAAGAAATGACGACAAAAATTAAATAAATTATTCCAAGCCCAAGGTCAGCTATGGTCATCAAAGGAAATAGAACTAGGAAATGGATAAAAATCCTGCCCTACCCTACCCCAATCTACGGTATTCTACCTTCTCTTCTACTCTACTACCTAGAATAATCTCTACGGTAACTCCTTAGAGTCTTCCGTAGTCCCTATAGTCAGCTCTCTCCTAACCCATACTGAAGCCCTTACTGTAAACTCTACAGTGAGAACTACAATAATTACTTTATTCAGTCTTACTGTACTCTATCCTACCCCTCATCTTCTGTGCCCTACCCTATCCTACCCCGTCCCGCCTTGCTCTACGCTAGACTACCCTCCCTTTTACTCTACCACCTACGGTAATCGGTACAGAACCTCCTCTTTCCTAGCACCAAGTGTATTCCCTATAGTCGCCTTTAACCTAGCCCATACTGTAGCTTTTATTCGAAACTCTATAGTAGATACTAGAATACTCTCTACCATAGCCCGACCTTATTTTACCGTTGCTCCAACTGTAGCGTCTACAGTAAAATCGACAACTTAATTTAATAAAAAAAGTCAAAATCAATAGTATATTGTCAACAAACTTCATAAAACGATTGAAACTATTGAAACCCTACAGCAACATTAAGTAAAACTATCTTCTTGTTGACCAAACTCAGCGTGATATCAACAAACTGTCAATCAAACAAAAAAACGATAAATTATAAAGTCATCCAAAAAGAGACTGTAACAAAACTTGGTATCTTAAAGTCGTATTCATGCCCAATTACTCTGGAACAATATGGAGATAGTTCAGGTTACCATGGTAATTTGGTAATTACTTTTTGCGCGAAATTTTGTTTTCCGGAAACGAAATTACAGCCAAGACAATAGAGTTGTAAGGTACGGCTTTGTAATGTCATTATGATTTGAAAATGTCATTCTTTACTTATCTAGATATTAATAAAGACATTTTACTTTGAAATACTACAAAATTTGAAGACTTTAAAAGTTTGATAACATAAATCCGAAACTTTAATTAAAATCACTATGTTTTGGCACTTGGCCCTTCCTCCGAAGTGCACTTATAGACCTCAACAACAATAAATGAGTAAACCAGAATAATAATTAAAGTTGCGCAACTTTAATTATAGGCCAATAACAACAATAGTTACAATTAAGAATAATTACTTACCCCTACCCTACCATACCCTACCCTACTCTATGCTACCCCCTCTTCTACTCTACTCCATTATCCCTACAGTATGTCCGACCTTAACGCCTACTGTAGTCCTTCTAGTCGACTCTATCTTAACCCATGCTGTAGCTCTTACTCTAAACTTCACAAAAAGCACTATACTAGGCTCTACCAGCCCTATCTTAACATACCCTATCCTTCACCCTCTATCCTCTACTTTCTACCTTCGACCTCTACTCTGCATTCTTTACCCTTTACTTTCTTTCCTATCCTACCCTGTCTTATTCAACCCTACCCTCTACAAAAAAAAATAAAAATTAAAACGATGTAAACTAAAAATAGATATAAAACCGACGCATCACAACAAGACCATTCTAGAAATGTGTAAACAAATTCGTTTTACATTTGAGTATCACATTGTGCCAAAGCAATCGGTTGGAAACAAATTCAGACATATTTACATCTACTTCAATATACATCTTATTTTTGTCACAAGTATAGTATAACATCCAGAAATTTACTGTATTTTCATGTCAAGTTAAACACTGTAACCAAAAATTCAATTTTTCTTCACTTTCTGTTATTATAGCAGACTCTATTGAAGGTCAAAAAAGTTTTGTCGATTTAAAACAAGAAAACCCTTATAAATCGACGCCAAGACTTTTTTATAACAAAAAAAACCCGACAAAAGCCGAGTAATAGAGCTGGAAAACTCGAAAATTGGTCGACTTTCATTCACAAATTTCCGTTCAGCTCATTACGCGGAAAAGACATAAAGCGGCTAGCCAAAAGCGATCTATCCGTTTATGGAGTGCGGACAAAGGGCTCATGAATAACATGCCGAAGATCGTGAAAAACAGATGTCGGATATATAAAAAAAATGTCAAGGCTATAAGTTGAAATTGATTATATATTGTTTATTACTCAAAATACCCAAAATTTAACGTGGTACAAAAGAAAGAACGTCTAACATGCCTGTAACAATATAAATTATCAAAAAATTTTAACTTTAACTTTAAAAATAATAATTATCACTTAAATTTAAAAAAATCACAAAGATTTAACTCTCAAAGTTGTAGGAAATAATTTGTTACCTAAATTCCTCTGGGCTCAAGACATTCGTATAAACTGATTCAGCTGCAGGCTGCAAAGTCAGGGCGCGAGCTTAAAAATTAAGAAATTCGAAATAAAGGCAAAATAAGTTTTTTGTCGCTTTGGTGCTGCATTATAAGATATTTTACACTTTGTAGTCTTATAATTTGTCTTTTTTAGATTTATAATATTGTTATTTATTATTTTTCTTAGTTTAGGTTGCGCGTTTGTTTATACTCTTTGAAGAAAACGAGGACTAATGGTAGGAACAGCTGTCTATTCTTACTGCTGCGCGTTCTAAAACTTCTTCTGGACTATTTAATGCCGATGTGTAGTCTTAACAGCCTTTTATTTTATTTTAGTTTTAATTTCTTTTTTTTGACTAGAATCAGCAGTTAATGCAAAAAATTGGTTTATTTAATTATAGTCTTCATTTCTTCATGAGTAATATAGCAATTGCTCGTGCTTGATCTTTTACATCAATTAAAATATATTTTTGGGTAAAAACTGCGTATTTTAGGTAAAAGATGGCCACAACAATCCCGGGAAGTTTGGTCAACAAGACCAAGAAGCATTTTATGGGAATGCCGGCACCAGCTGGGTATGTTGCTGGTATTGGTCGTGGTGCCACCGGTTTCACAACAAGATCTGATATTGGGCCGGCGAAAGATGCGGGGGAAAGTTTGCCAGATGCTCCGACCGGTCCACCAGCTAAAAAGGCAAAAGAAGCGGACGATGAGCCTGAGGATCTTAACGATGCCAACTACGACGATGTAAGTTAATATTCTTGTTTTTGTGGTAATTTTAGGTAAGTTATGCTGTCAATTGGTATTGAAACGTAGAGAAGGAAATGGAGAAACTAATGAAACTTAAAGTTTTGTGTTTAGTGTACATTAACGTTATCATTTTTCAGTTCGAAGGCTATGGAGGCAGCTTGTTTTCTAAAGATCCGTATGACAAAGAAGACGAAGAAGCCGATCTAGTATATTATCAGGTAGATCAGCGTCAAGATGAACGTAGAAAGAGTTATAGGGAGAAGAAGTTGAAAGAAACCATCGAAAGTTATCGAAAAGAACGGCCAAAGATTCAACAACAGTTCAGTGATCTCAAAAGACAGTTGGCTGATCTAACTGAAGAAGATTGGGCAGCTCTTAACGAAGTTGGAGATTCAAGGAACAAGGCTAAACGTAATCCAAGAGCTGATAAGTATGTTATTCTAGATATTTTAAGTAGTATTCGTAATATATTGGTTGCTTTTTAAATCTAAGTAACCATGGATAATATAATTTGTTTAAAACTGTAAATTATGTTCAAATGACGATAAATTTGTTGGTGAGCGCAATATAACTCTTTACGTTATAAATATAAAAAGCTACAGTAAAAGTGGTGTAGTTTTATGAAGAAAAGCCGAAAAAATGGTTATCAAGCGCATGGATATTATACAAATGTTAATATTATTCAGCTTAATTGATATCTACATAAAATAAGTTTATGGCTTTAGCGCAATGACCCTTGACAACGAAGTTTTCAATCTGATGAACTTAAATTACAAATTATAAATGTTTTATATTATTCATGAAGGGTTGGTTAAGGAAACTTATCTCAATATCGAGCATTTTGATTTGATGGTTATGTACAGTGTTTTGCCCGGACCGGTCCGGAGCGTTTTTCAACGGTCCGGTCTAAACTTCAAATTTTTGGGTCCGGTCCGGTCTGCAAAAATTTTTTTTTTATTTTTAAAAAATGCAAAGAGCGCTAAAACTGCTTTCTCTACGTTTAAAAACACTTAAAAATATGTTTTCTTTGCAATTTTTAAAGCAGTTTTAATAAAATAAAAAAAAATTTTTCTTCCGGACCGGTCCGGAGCTTTTTCTTCGGTCTGGGTCCGCAGGTTTTTGGGTCCGGTCCGGTCCGCAAAAAATTTTGTTTCGGTCCGGACCGGACCCGTCCGCGGACCGGACCGGTCCGGCAAAACACTGGTTATGTATTAAAATTTTAAATGAAAAACGAGTTTAGAAGATTAATATGTGTTATATTTTTAGATACACAGCTATTTCGGATTCTCTGATAGCAAGTGCGATGAGTTTTGGTCAAATCAGTTCAGTTTTGGATGCGGATGTTCAGTCCGGACTAGCTACATCGATTTCTGGATTTCAAACGAGTATTGGAGGTATGCAAACATCTGGTATAGCTACTGGCACAAAAACATCTTCGGACTTGGATCTACAAAGGATTGGTCAAGCCAGGAAGGGGATTATGGATATTAAGCTTAAGGGTGTAAGTAATTTTTTATTGTTATGTTTTGATTTTAGGTATTTAAAGCTTCCTGAAGTATTTATAAAGTTTATGGAGTACTTATAAAGATAAAATGTTTAAGTTTAGGCTTTTAAAGGCATCACAAAGGTTTAAATTATTATAATTTATCCTTTTAGGTATCAGATTCAGTATCAGGTCAAACAGTTGTCAATCCTCAATCTTACCTCACTGATATGCAGTCAATCAACCCAGCAGGTGACTTCAATATTACTGAGGTTAAGAAAGCCAGAAGTTTGTACAAATCAATCCGAGATTGTAACGCCAATTATGGTCCAGCTTGGATTGCCTCGGCCAACCTAGAAGCGGCCGTCGGCAAAATGCAAGCTGCCAGAAATCTGATAATGGAAGGTTGTGAGAAGAATCCAGAATCCGAAGAGATTTGGCTGACAGCTGTCAAGTTTCATCCACCAGATCAAGGCAAACTTATTGTGGCCAACGCTGTCAGTCATTTGCCAACCTCAGTACCTATTTGGCTAGCTGCTGCTGGATTGGAAACTGAACTGAAACAGAAAAAGCATGTGCTAAGGAAGGGACTGAAGAAGGTGCCAAAGTCTGTGAAACTGTGGAAAGCAGCGATTGACCTAGAGGAAGACGAAGAAGAGGCTAAGAAATTATTGACCAGAGCCGTGGAATGTTGTAGTTCAAGTACTGATCTGTGGTTGGCCTTGGCTAGGCTGGAAACTTATGAAAACGCTAGAATGGTGTTGAACAAAGCTAGGGAGAACATTCCAACGGATAGACAGATTTGGATATCAGCCGCAAAGCTAGAAGAGACCAAAGGACAGGTGGAGATGATTGAAAAGTTGATGGAAAGAGCGTTGATCTCTTTGAGGGCGAATCAGGTCGAAATCACAAGGAAACAATGGTTTGAAGATGCGATTGATGCTGAGAAAAGTGGATGTCCATTGACTGCTGGGGCTATTATGTGAGTTCTTTGATATTATTTTAGATTTGTAGCTATTATTTTTGATCTTTTACCTATTACAAGGATATAATTTTAGATTTTTTGGAGCTTTTGCATTATATTAACCTTCATTTTTTCAGTGATTTTATATTATATTAACCTTTATCTTTTCAGAAAGCACGTTATGGGAGTTGGAGTAGAAGAAGAAGATCGCAAAACCACCTGGCTCGAAGATGCAGAGTTCTTCACTCGTGAAAAAGCCTACGAATGCGCTCGTGCCATCTTTGGCTTTATGTTAACAGAATTTTCAGAAAAGAAGAGTGTATGGCTAGAAGCCGTCATATTCGAAAAAGAACACGGTACCCCAGAAAACTACGAGGAATTACTCAAAAAAGCGGTCGATAAATGCCCAAAAGCCGAAGTTTTATGGTTACGGTACGCGAAAGCACGTTGGCAACAAGAGGATGTTGTGGGAGCAAGAGCAATATTGTCGGAAGCCTTCCAGAAGAACCCGAATTCAGAAGACATCTGGATGGCTGCTATCAAATTGGAGTCGGAAACCAATAATTACGAAGCGGCTAGAAAGCTGTTGACGAAAGCTAGATCGATGGCACCGTCACCTAGATTCTGGCTGAAATCAGCTATGTTGGAGTGGTGTCTGGACGATTTGAAGCAGACAGAAGAACTTATTAAGGTAGATAATATTTTTTGGTATAAAAGATTTTTGATCATAAAAATATTTTAGGTACATTTTGGTGAAAATTAGGTTACTTTTTAGGTAATAAATACATTTTTAATTGTTTTCACTACTTTTTTTAAATTATTTTTTGCCATTTTTAATGAAAAACACGATATAAACTAATATAAACTCCATTTCAGGAAGGAATTCAAAAGTACCCAGACTTTGACAAGTTCTACATGATGTTAGGCCAACTATACGAACAACAACACCGCTTCGACGAAGCCAGAAAGGCATTCACAACAGGTACAAGAAGATGCCCCAACTCGGTCACCTGCTGGTTATTACTCGTTCGTTTCGAAGAAAGCCAGAACGTCGCAGTTAAAGCACGTTCTGATCTAGATATGGCAAGGTTAAAGAACCCAGGAAATGAATTACTGTGGAGAGAAGCCATAAGATTGGAATACAGAGCTGGCAAAAAGGATCTGGCATTGAGTATCTTGGCTAGAGCATTGAAAGATTGTGGAAGTTCTGGTGGGTTTTTGAGAAATTTTAGTTTTTGGAAAATGATTATTTTTTGGTTAAAAGGTATTGTTAAGGGTAATATAGTGTGTAATTCGGCTAAATTTGAGGTTTTTAGAGGAAGCGTGGGACACGTTATGACAAAATCTTTGAATAGAGCCAAAAATTTGATGATGAATCGAAAAACATATATATCTCTTTTCAGGTATCCTTCACGCCGAAGCCATATCCCTCGCCACAAAACATCAACGTCGTGCTGTATCCGTCCAAGCTCTCGAAACCTGTCCAGAATCACCCGAAGTCCTTCTGGAAGTCTTCAAAATGATGTGGGCCGAAAGAAAGATCTCAAAAGCCAGAGATTGGTTCAAAAAGGCCCTAAAAGTGGATTCTGACTTTGGTGACATCTGGGCATACTACTACAAACTAGAAGCGATTCATGGCACTCCAGAACAACAAAACAAAATCATGGAGGATTGTAAGCATACAGAGCCTAGACATGGCGAACGATGGCAGAAAGTATCGAAAGACATTAAGAATTGGCGAATGAAAACCGAGGATATCCTGTTGACGGTGGCTAGTCAGTGTGATATACCACGGTAAAAGCATGGATTGATTTTACTTTTTTGAAAAATTTTTTGGCATTTGGCTCTGATTTTACCTATTAGGTTGTTCACATAAATCTGTGCTTCCCTCAATGCAAATTTTCGAAGTTATGGGGCACGGAATTATTTGAAAAACTTGACAAAAGTGGATATATCAAATTATATAGATCGTTACTTAAAAATTTATTAATTAATGTTGTTGTTGCTAGAAATTTGATGCGAATTGTAATATACTCTTATGTCTTTTGATCTGATTGAACTCATGTTTTAATGTAAGTTGAATAAAATGTAAAAAAACTATTTGTTTCGGAAGTTATTGTTGAGTTAAAATGGTTTTTAACCGTGATACGTACTTTGCGTGGAGTTATAATGGCTTGGAACAGTCAAAATATTGTGTTCTTGGTTGAATTTTGAAGGCTTTTGTGGCTATGTTACTTTATATAAGAAATAATATATTACTTATATAAGAAAAAATATATTACATTACAGATGAACGTGGCCAAGTTCCTAGGCCTTCATAGGCTGCCAGTTCAAACGATAAAGGCACGGTATTGTGCGACAGCTGTAGCCGAAGCAGAAGCCGCACCAGCCGAAGATAAATGGGCCTATAATCACATCGAACATAAGAAAGGGTTGTACAAGCCGAAACACTCGGTAGAGGAGCAGATTGCCTACATGAAGAGTAAAGGTAAGTGAGCTTGGTTCTAGTGGATTGAAGTTGGATGTCATTGCTTTTAAAATTTTATAAATGCCTATCACAATATAAGTCGTCGTTTTTAGTTTTCGAAAACACGTACAAAGGCTTACCCGTCCACAAGTGGTACCGAAGAAACATAAAAGGTCAAGTGATCATGCAGCCACCGCCAAGAATGTTTTGCATCGAGAAGACGGGCAAATTCAGATTGAATCATGCTTGTCCAGTCTGCAGAGACGAATACCTCTTCTTCGATTATAGAGTAGGTTCTCGGAGTTTTGGTTGTGTTTTAGGTGTAAAATGGCATTTATAGGACGAAAGAGTTTCTCCTAGGGCAAAATGGCTGGTTGATTATGCCAAAGTTTGGGTTGTCACTGTGTGGAATTAAGGAAAGCATCCTTAATATAGCTAATATGTATCGTATTTTAACATATTAAGTTGTTCAAATAATTCTTTGTCTTCTAATCCCGAACATTTGCTTTGAACCAGATCATAGGACGCCCGAAGGGCGTCCGTTGATCTAGTTTGCTTTGAATGAGAGCACAGAATTACTTGAACAACCTAATGGCCATGTTAGATTGTGGAAGAAATGTTGTATATATCAAGTATGATAGATTGTGGAATAAATATGTTTTTAGAATCCAGCCTTGATTCAACAGTTTTTGGCCGACGGAACCGATCAGCCGATTGAGCTGCTTCAAACTGGCTTATGCCGAGATCAATATGGCCAGTTGAAGGCACAACTTCTAAAGGCTAGAGAATATGGTGAGAAATATAATTTTTCAAATCAAAAATTTAAATCTTCCCTTCAGGCACAATCGAATTCGGTATTGAATTCCGCGTCTTTGACTACAAACAATGGTACGACGACTGGCAAGACGACCAAGCCTTGAACGCCTTCCACGAACACAACCCGGAGATCCCATTGACCAGAAAATCGACTAAACTGGAGCACATCTTCCAGGACGAACAGGTCCTCTTCCCCACCCACAACCGGGCACAGTACCGCGACTGGGACGAGTGGTGGAAACGTCACGATAAGTTTGTCAAGAAGGCCAAGTAATCAAAGAGTTAGTTGTTAATTTCTGGTAAAATTATGGTATTGTGTACCATAGAATCACGATATTGTTCATGATAGCATGATTTTACTGGATTTTCATGTTCAGAGTTGTTTTAGGTTAAAGTTGTTATTGATAAAGTTATAAAATGATAAGAATAGGTATTGAAACTTGAAAAAAGATTTTTTATAAATTAGGATTTTTTAAATTTAAGACTCTTAAATAAAATGTGAAAATATTGTTTTTGGTATCTGACTGTTACTTATACCTACAAGAACTCAAAATTTAAAATTTTTTATAAATTCGTATGTTTAAACTTCAAAATAGACCTGAAAGAGGGACACTAGGCAAAGCCCCTTTACCAGTCTACATAGAATTTAAAATCCCCGTCAAGAAGTCACTTTATGACCAAAAAATCAAAGGCCAGTATGTTGTTCATGACATGAACACCTCAGTAAATCATGGCACGAACTGAGCGGTCAATTTCATCGACTGGAACCGGTCGCAATCCTTCCAAAACACCGCCGACTCCACATCGTTGGTGTCGGACTCGGCGAACTGGATCATGAACTTGTTCTTCTTCTTCTCCAGCTTGGTAATGTCCTTCGTGGCCCTGAGCATAGCGGCCAGAATCTGCATAGCGTGCGGATTGATGATCACCATGTTGGGTCGAACGCGGAACGGGCCCGGGTTCGTGAGCTGTGTCTTCACGTACATGTATTTGCTCGTGTTGTTCACGACGCAAATGGCCGAGGTGACAATCTCGTTGTATGGGCCGCGGAATACCAGGTATTTCTCCGGTTCGACTACTAGCTTCTGGTCATCTTGGGCTTCAAAGTCGTCGTCTGGTGCGGAACCATCGTCCTTTTCGCCTTCTAACAGGATTCTCTGAAGGAGTTAGGGTAGGGTAATATCAAAAATTGAGAAAATTCAAAATTTTTGAATTTTTAAAATTTTCAACACAAAACCCACCACTTTGAGGTACATGAACTGGACCTTGTTCTTGATTTCGTCCGCCTCTCTCCAAAACTTCTCGGTCAATGGGATCGGCTCCTTCGAGGTGGCCGACTGAACAATGACACGATGCCGTTCCTTGGCCACGGACGCCGGATCCGTTAGTGCTTCCAATCGCACCGCTACCGTTGTGGATTCGCCGACATTCAACGACTGTTGTTTGCCTTTGATCCGGTAGTGTTGAGGGAATGTGGTGAGGACCTTGAAATGGGCCACCTCGTCTTGCATGTTGGTCACTTTGAACTCGACGATTTGCTGCTTGTCGTATGGGTCTGAAGGGGGATGAATGAGGGATAGCAAAGCTATTGTGGTATATTCTTCATATATTTTTCGTTTTTTCAATTTGGCAGGTTTTGAAAATAAAAAAATTGAAAAAAAAGTCCAAAAATGAAATTTTGAACCACTTTTCAAGCAAAATTTAAATTTTTTTCATTTTTTTTAAATTTTTTTTAAATTTCAAAATACACTAGTCTCATTCAGAAACAACTTATTTTACCTTATAACAACCAAATTTCGTACAAACATTAATAAAAACGCCAACAACCCCCAAAAACCCCCTTGTCCCCAAGCGGAATCGAACTTTTTTGGATTTTCGACCTTTTCAATCTGTAACTCACGATTGAATACCATTTTTTCCGGTTCGAATTTCAGATTCTTGGTCTGTCCCTTGGTCATTTCGTTCATTTCACACACATTGCCGCGACCGCGCGCCGTCTTCTGGCCTGGCTCCTTGTCTTTGTCATCGTCCTTATCATCGTCCTCCTTCTTGTCTTCGCCTTCCTTTTCCTTGTCGTCGTCTTCTTCTTTCTGATCGTCTGGAGGTTAGAAATGGGATGGTTAGTAAAAAAATTCAAAATTTCAAAATTTTTTTCTAAAATTTTTTTTTCGAAAAAATGTCGTAAAATGACATAAAATCACCCCTTTTGACCCATATACCTACTACAACATCAAAGAGTTATAAAACCATACTCGCTGCTGCCGCTGGTGGTGGCTTTTGTTCCTCCGGAGCCGGAACCGAAGTCATGGTGCTTTGTCCTGGAGTTGGTACCGAAGTCATAGTGCTCTGACCGGGGGTCGGAACCGATGTCATAGTGCTCTGGCCCGGGGTCGGGACCGAAGTCATGGTGCTCTGGCCAGGAGTCGGGACAGAAGTCATCGTGCTCTGACCAGGAGTCGGGACTGAAGTCATCGTGCTCTGGCCTGGAGTCGGGACAGAAGTCATGGTGCTTTGTCCTGCCGCTGGTGTCATGACACTTTGTCCACCGCCTGGCATGGGTCCCGCGCCACCGCCCATCGGTTGGTTGTTGACATACATTGACATTGGTGAAGTGCCAGTACCGGCTACACCCATGAAGACTGAGGTTCCTGGTGGTACGCTGCCTGCTCCACCTGGACCTCCGGCTCCACCTGGGCCACCTGCTCCTCCAGCTGCTCCCATTACACTAGTTCCACCACCTTGTCCAACTGGTACCAATCCACCGCCCATCGGGTTGTTTTGGGCGTAGACCGACGTGGGACCGGTACCAGTGCCAGCCACTCCCAGAAAGACTGAAGTGCCTGGGGGTACGTTGCCTGATCCACCTGCTCCTCCGGCTGCTCCTGCTGGGGCTCCCATTACACTTGCTCCTGCTGCACCCGCTCCTGGTTGTCCTGCAGCGCCACCTGCACCACCCGCACCTGGGCTTATGAAACATGAGGTTGGCCCAGCTCCTGAAATTAAAAAAATATTAATTTCAAAAAATTTTTAATTTTAAAAATTAAAATTTCAATCATTTTTCAAAATTTTAAGTAACACTTACCACTGCCAGCCGTTGCTCCAACATAAACTGACATAGCCCCTTTGCCACCCATGCCTGGTGCCACCATGACACTTGGTGCTGCTGCCATCACACTTTGTTCTAGAGCTCCACCAGGTTTGGCCATTACGCTTTGACCTGGCATTGGCTTGACCATAACATTAGTTCCTGGCGCAACTCCCGGCTTTGCCATAACGCTTTGGCCTGGAAGTGGTGCAGCTGGTTTCGCCATTACACTGGTGCCTGGAGCTGGTGCTCCTGGTTTTGCCATCACACTAGTACCTGGGGCTGGCGCTCCTGGTGCAGCCGGTTTTGCCATCACACTAGTACCTGGAGCTGGTGCGATTGGTTTTGCCATAACACTGGTGCCTGGTGCTGGAGCAGCAGCTAGTGGTGCTCCTGGTGCTGCCGGTTTACCCATAACATTTGTAGCGGGAGCTGGTGCTCCTGGCTTAGCGGCTGGAGGTGGCGGTGCTCTTGGCTTAGCAGCTGGGACTGGAGTTAGTGGTGCGCCCGCTGGTTTTCCCATAACGCTGGTTCCGGGGGCTGGCGCAGCTGCTGGTGGGGCTCCAGGCTTTAATCCTGGGGCTGGTGTAAGTGGTGCTGCTGGAGCTCCGGCCGGTTTTCCCGTAACACTTGTGCCTGGTGCGGCTGGTGCCCCAGCTGGTTTTGCCATAACGCTAGTTCCCGGGGCTGGTGCTCCTGGTGCCGCCGGTTTTGCCATGACACTAGTTCCTGGTGCTGGTGCTCCTGCTGGTGGCGCGCCAGGCTTGCTCATAACGCTAGTTCCGGGCGCTGGTGCCGCTGGTGTTCCCGGTGCAGCTGGTGCTCCTGGCGCCGGCGGTTTTGTCATAACACGTGTGCCCGGAGCGGGCGCGGCCGATGCTCCCGCTGGTTTGGCCGGAGCATTGGTGCCGGGCGGGGCGGCTGCTGCTGGTGGTGCGGCGGGTGGCGGGGCTGCGCCACCTGGCTTGGCTACACTCATAGTCACGGTCGTCGACTTCGACCGAAAAATTGATTCGAACTAGAAGAAATGAACCGCTCAGTCAGCCAAAACTAACATTTCAAGCCGGGTTTCGGTGCCTATGTAGTCTCGTATGCAAATTTTTTGAAATGGGAAATTTGAATACTTTGGAACAGAAAAAGTTAATAATTTCAAAAATTTTAAAAATCAAAAAATTTATAAAAAAAGGTTTACCCCACCCTACCTATTCTATTAAAACTTACAAGTACCTACTCCTCCACCTACAACAATATTGTTGCCACCCCCTCCCCTACAACTATCCCCAACTTATAAAACATGAAATACCCTACCAAATGCCTTACCTTTCACTACCAAACCATCATCAAGTTCCATCAACTTTGTCATTTTCTTTTTTTCATTTTTATCCCAAACTGGACGCTTGCGGTTGGACTTGAATTTGTGGCAGCATTCCGAGTAGAGACCAGTCGAAATGTGTAGGTTCTTTTCTGAAATTTACTAGATTTTTATTGTAGTATTTAGTCAGTATTATGTGAGTATAATAAACGCTGTGTTTGTAGTCAAATTTTTGAAATTAAAAATCAAAAATATTGTTGTTCAAATAATTCTGCGCCCCATCTCAAAGCAAACTTGCTGGATTATAGGGTGCAGAATTATTTGAACAGCCTAATACAGTAGTCTCTCTACACAGTGAACCATCTGTATAAGCAACTCTCTTTATAGTAAACAAGAAATTTGGCCCCGCCAAGTCAATTTGCACCAAAAAGTCTCTCTGTAAAGACAACACCCCTTATAGTAAACACAAAATTTCGGTCTCTTCAGGTTGCTTATATAGAGAGAGTACTGTAATTTTGCGCCCCATCATAAAGCAAACTTTCAAAGTTAGGGAGCGCAAAATTATTTGAACAACGTAATAATAAAGAAAGTTTTGTCAACATAGTAAATAAGACTTTGTTTTTGTCATATTTTGAAAAACATAGGTATACTGACAGTTTTTAGAGTTTGTAGATGATCTACATTATCAACTTCTCCAAAAATAAATTTTTTTAATTTTTGTTTTTACAGTAGACCTATCAAAAAGCATTTTTCATCAAAAAACTTTAAATTTTTTTAAAATTTGATGATTTTACTACGTAATTTAAGCTTAAAATTAATACAGAACACTAGGACAACCTCACTCCACAGAAAAAAATTTTGAAAAAAGTTGAACTTGGTCACCCCTGTGGATTTTTTTGAAAAAAAAATTTTCAAAAAATGTGGTATCTCTACCTGTGCCGATTTTTTCGACACCCGCCTTTAGAATAAAAGTCCCCGCCCGGCCCTGTATACAGGAAAACCTCTTTAGTACGACACTCGAAAGACTGGTCCAACCCTTTCCTTTAAAACTTGTTAGACAAATACTAGAAGCTATGATATACTGTGATGACCCCGTATGAAGTTAGATAGTGAGTACTATAATGAAATTAGGTAGTGAGTACTATACGCTATGTGTACTATAACATCTACAATGACGGTATATACGACCCAAACCTTGAAATTTTCAGCAGTGTTCATCGCTCAAGGAATGAACCAACCCGCTGGTGGAGGCGGCGGCGGAGGTGGCACTGGAGGTCAGGGTGGTGGTGGAGGAGCTGGAGGAGGTGGTGGTGGAGAAGGTGGACCCACACCAATCTTAGGTCAATCCATGTTTTGTGCTCAAAGCATGAACAAGGTGCCCGGCGGCGGCGGAGGTGGTGGCGGAGCTGGCGGTGGAGCAGGTGGTGGAGCAGGCGGTGGTGGCGGAGCAGGAGGAGGCAGCGGAGCTGGTGGAGGTAGCGGAGCAAGTGCCTATGGTGGAGCAGGAGGCGGCGGAGCTGCCGGTGGTGGTGCTGGCGGCGGCGGAGCTGATGGTCCAAAACCTATCGCTGGCCAATCCCAGTTCTGCGCTCAAGAGATGAACCAATCCGAACAACCTGGTGGAGGTAGTACTCCAAAGTCGCCCAACAAGAAAGATAAAGAAAAGACGGTTGATGAAGGTGCCACCAAGAAAACAAATAAGTCGCCAAGCAAGTACGATAAAGAGAAGACGGTTGATGAAGGAGCGGGTAAAAAGACGACAAAGTCGCCCAAAAAGGACAGAACGGTGGAAGCGGACGATGTGACCAAAGACGAGGACTACAAAGAAGAGCCTGAGGAACCGAAGAAGGCACCAACTCCATCCAAAGCCCCCACCCCGTCGAAGAACAAGAAGGAGAAGACTCTGGTGGTGGAGAGTATGGCTTTTTGAAAACATTATTTATTTTTTTGAAAATTCAAGCTTAAAGAAAATTTTATTTTGAAAAAAAAATGTTTTATGCTAGGTAGTTCAAATAATTCTGCGCCCCAACCTCAAAAATTTGCTTTTGAGAGAAGGTACATAATTATTTGAAAAACCTAATAAAAATTGTAAAAAATCAAAATTTACATTTTAAAAATTTCAAATTTTGAAGAAAATAAGCCTGTACCTCTTCAGAGAAGCCAGACGTCGATGCCGGACAAGCACCAGCTGCTGAAGAGGGTGGTAAATGGAAGGGTAAGGGAAGACAGCCCGAAATGAACGAAACCACCAAAGCACCCAGGAATGTGGCGGTCGAACCGGAAAAAATTGTCTTTAGCTGTAAGTTACAGTATACTTTGATACAAAACTTATAGTACGTTTACAGTATCTTCTGTACTGCGTTGTTTACCTGCAGAATTTCACAGTACTGTGTTACAGTAAGATTCTGTATGTGTACCATGAGACTTTAAGGCAGTATGTAGCTTACAATATGATATCGTGTAGTAGCGAAAAATTACACTATAATACAGTATACCGCAGTAAAATTTTAAAAAATTAAGATTTTTCTTTCAAAAACTGCCATTTTCAGTCCCATACGACAAAGCCCAAATGGCGGACATCAAGCTGACCAACAAGACCAAAGAGTTTATTCAGTACAAGATCGTGGCCACAGTACCCCAGTACTATCGTGTTCGTGGCAAAGACGGCAGCCTGAAGCCGGGAGCATGGGCTACAGCCACACTCCGTCTGGAACCCTTGTCCAACTTAAAAGAGGCCCAGAAAGAGAAACATCGCATCGTGGTACAGTCGGCTGTCTCTAAGACGGAAAAGATCAAAGACAACTTTTGGAAAGATGCCGACGAGATCAAGAACAAGGTTCAGTTCTTGAATATTAGGGTGGTAAGTTTCTACTCCAGTTTAGCTAACCATGCTTCCGTCTTATCATAGCCCTACTGAAGCCCTGCCCTGGTCTACTTACCTCTTTAATTAGCCTTATCTTATCCCTAAGTCCAGCTTACCCTAGTCCTACTTCTGCCTTGCCCTAGCCCCACTTTAGACTTATCTAAACCCTTCAGGTTTATCCTAGCGCTACCTTATTTCAAATCAAAAAAATTTCAGAAACTGCTAGCTGAAGGCCAAGACAAGAAGAAAGACGGCGTCACCCAAGCCGAGGACGAGTACGTGGCCAAGGACGACCAAAAGATTGTGATCGAGCCGGAGAACGAACTCATCTTCCGCGGTCCCTTCAACGAAATAGGCACCTCCGCCATTTGCGTAGTCAACAACACGGACATGTTCATGTACATCAAGACCTTGGTCACAAACCCGATCCCATTCAGAGTTCGCCCCAACGCCGTATGCATCAACTCACGTGCCATGCAGGTGTTGGCAGCAATGGTGGAGCCGGTGAAGGACGTGAGCAAGATGCAAAAGAAGAAGAACAAGTTCATGATCCAGTACGCGGAAAGCGACACCAACACCCTCGACGCGTTGTCCTTCTGGAAGACCTGCAACAAGTTCCAGTCCCTCAAGCTGCAAGCTCGCTTCCTGGTGTAGTTTTGACTTGATTTTGATGCACATAAACTGATTTTTTCTTTATATTTTGTTGTAGACATCGTTTTAAATGCCTTTGTTTAGTAAAATTGTGAGTATACTATGTTTTTGATAAAATGTATAATATTATAAATCACTGAAAAGTAGAAAACAATATGTACCACTCTTTGACATTCAATAGCTTAAAAAAGTACTTCCCTAGAGCCCTGATTGACAGGCAAATCATTATATTGTGTTATAGTACCACTTCGAAGTTCTCATTACAGAATCCATCAACTACTTTACTTTGAGTACCATTAACCGACATCTATAAAACATTCTCATAATTTAACATATTATACATCTGTTTCTTTACCAATCCAACAAATAAAGTACAAATATGTTCAATATAAACATCTTGATCAAATCCAAAAATTGTAATAATATGCTTTCACTTTCACACTGATACAGTATCATACACAACAACAATTGCACTTTTTTCAAGTTTCGAAAACAAACATTACTACACTAATAATTTTCTTCAATTTCTATATACAGACAATATACAATAAAAGTTAAAAAATGAGTTATACAACTGGCTAGTACAACATATCACAGGTTAAAAACGAGTATTTTTGAAGCATTAAAAATTTTTTATTTTTAATAACAATTTAAAAATAGCCTACAAGACCATCTATGATAACATAAATATAGTAATAAAACCTAAAAATCTAACCCAATCATCAAAGCAATGTCAATACCCAAACCAATATAGACCTAAACAAATATCAGAATGTTCAAATAATTATGTGCTCCTAACCATTAAAAAATGCTTTAATAAAAGCTCACAATTATTTGAACACAACAGAAGCAATATAATACCTAAACCCACATAGACCTAACCAAACATACAACCCCAAACCTCATCGTCGTCTACAACTGCCTCCAGATGAATTCGATGGTTGCGGAGGTAATGGCGACTCCTGGAACGATCTTCTTCTTCTCTTCAAATGATCCGACGGTATTCTATTCAATCTACTTTCATTTCCGAGCATTTGCTGTAGATCATCGTAAGGCAGTGATATGATTTGAGTTGTCAGCTTGATTGCATCCTCATTCGACAGTATGTTATTGGACTCGTCGGCTCTGAAGATGACTGGAGCCATGGCTTGGGAGAGCATTTGAACAGTGAGGTTTTTGTGCTGAAATTCAAACCCATCGCCAAGCCGTTTCAAATGTCTGCACAGAAAGACCAAGGTATCTGCATGAGCCTGTGGCAGCGTAGCGATCTGTTGAATCATTTCCGAATCACCCTTCAAGCCTTGTTTCATATCTTCTTGATATCCCAATGGGACTAATGGTTCTTTCAGTGACAGTAAAAACCGTTTCACCGTTTCGGCAACTGTCAAAATGCCATAATCGACCAGTTTTGGAGGCTTGTCCTTCTTAAGGAAGGTTGTTAAAAGACGTTGAACTTCTTCTTCGTTTCTGAAAATGATTTTCGATTATTGTCTACCGAAAAAATTATAAAACGACCACTCCTTGATCTTTAAAGGCTTAAAACAGTACTTACCCAGGACTCTGATAGATAGGTAATGTCGTACCACTTCGTTCAATATGAACACAACAGAATCCAACAATTTGTGGTACCATTGGCCGGCTGTCCGGACAATATTCTCCTAGTTTTGCGTACTTTTGCTGCTTCTTCGGCGCTTTCCGAGGCATACAAGGTAGAATATTCTTCCTACTACAATCCTGATGAAACGTCAATTTGCATACTGAAATTTTAAGATTATTACTGATTATTAGTTCTAATTAAAATGTTATCAAAAACGTAATAAAGCTAACAAAGTTCAATATCAGTCTAAACAATATCATTACCTTGACATTTCGAAGCTATAACACCAAAACTAATGCTTCTTCTGCACACAGCACATAAAGAATTTGTAAAGTTTCTTCTTTGTGTCATATCGTGATGCTTTCCACCCAAAAAGTCATCCGATTCCTCCAAATCTTCAACGAATGTAACTTCAGCTGACTTTGAGGTCACATTCAAAGATGTTCGTCTCTCCAATGTCGCTTTTGGCTTTACTGGAGTGAGCAACGCCTGTATATAACATAGTTAACAAATAGTCAATAATATCAACCAAAAAATGAGTCTAAACTTTAAAAAAATAAAAAAAATTACCGAGTTGTTGTCATGTTCAATATATCCTGGCACAGAATTTGACCTTCTGACTTTCTTGCCTTTGAACTTATTATTCTTTTGCTCCACATACTCAGCCACAACGTTATATTCACAAGCTATTGATTGGTCTGTCGCAGTGGAACAACTCGATAGTTTAGGTTGCGTTTGAGGCTCTGATTTCACAAAAGTCACACGTTCCGGTTTCTTTTCGACTTTAACATTGTGAAAACTAAATTCTTCATCGTCCATCGTAATATCTGAAGTCTCGTCCAAGTCGCTGCATGTAAAGTCTGGCGCATCCTAAAAATTTTGGATATTATAGCTGAATTTAGCTATCATTTATCTTTAAAAGATTATACTAAAAAAATATCTTTAAATTTAAAAAAATTAATGTTAAAACAACAAAAGCAACATCGCTTACACCTTTAAAACCAAAATAAACTTACAACCTTGCGACGCTTCCGTTTGGTAACCAAATTCCTGTTACCTGCTTCAACGTTCTTCCTCAATGTCCTAAAAGTTGAAAAAAAATAAAAAACTAAATCTTACTTTAATTCTGCCTCTAATTTTGTACTTTTTTCTTCAGCAGCCAAGCATTTCTTCCGTAGTTCCTCGGCCAGATCAATAAGTTGTAAGATGTCGTCTAAAACAATATCAACATAAATAAAAGCCAAAAACGACAAAATGAAAAAAACAAGCTCTACAAAAATAACAAAAAAAGCATAGCTTTATTCTCTTTGATGTATTATGGCTAAGAGATCATAAAAACGTTAATTACAATAAAAGATAAAAATACTTACTAAAATACTTGTCTCTTTCAGCCATCAAAGTCAACATATACGCCGCAATCTCAGTGTTAACATTGTCTAATATCATTTTTGCATTTTCCACACCGTCATCAATCTCCATCACATCACTATCCGACATTCTTCAGCACTTATGGCCAGACATGAACTATTTTTGGCAAAATTTCGGAAAAGTTTATTTTGAATCATTATTTTGCTCAAAATCTTTCGTTGCGGGACTCAATTGAGCCGTCAGTGCAAACTTCTTTGTTCTTTTTATTGTAGTTTTTATAAATTTATTGTCATAAATCCGCAATTTTATGGATAATCAAAGCCTTCACAATATATTTCAAAGATTTATCAACAAAATTTTTAAAAAACGACAACATATACCCGGATTTTTTGGGGATGACGAAGAACGAGCGTGTTTGTATCTAGATTCTAATTTCAGGGCTAAGATTTTTTGGTTTTGTGAGGTAGTTTAGAAGAAAGAAACATCTGGGTATTTCTTTGAGATCTCCATGGTTAGTGGGTGAGGGGACATTAAGTTGAAGGTTTCTATCGTGCACAGGGTTTCGCGTTTGAAGGCGGCGACTTTCTGAAAATGACATTGATGAAAATTTGTAAATAATTAATTTACAAGACGTATTTTACGAGTTTACTTTACAATCGTTCGAACTGTCCAAGCAAGAAATTTATACAACAGAATTTCAGAATTTTGCGTATAACTTGTCACCCGCAGGCTGCAACACTTTTCAATTTCAGTTTTACAGCTTTTAAGGTAACAAAAGTCAATTTGTATACTGTCACAAGATAAAATAGTGTTTTTAAAGACTATCAAATAACTTTTTATAACAAGCTTGATATATTGATATAGACTTACATGTACATTTGAGATCCTGAGTAATAAGGCGGCAAACCTATGAGCGCTTTCATTTTTCAAGTATTTGCTATCCAGATGCCTCCGGAGGGCATCTAACAACTGTTTCCTTTTGGTGTGAACAACTTTTGTGCATTCGTCGCTCAATGATATGCATTCTAAAAAAATTTTTTGAAATTTTTAATTTGAACATATTGGGTTGTTCAAATGATTCTGTGCCCCTCTCAAAGAAAATTTTCGGGGTTAGGGGGCGCAGAATTAAGTAAACAACCTCATATTTAAACTTTAAAAACTTGATAGTAAATTAATGGTACAGTAATCAGTCTAAACCTAAAGAAAACACGGTAATCAACACAAGCCCAAAAACAGTCAAAACCCACCTCTATCAAAGAAGATAATAGCCTGTAATAGTACGTATTCAATTTCGGTCATTCTCATCTTCCTAATCGGTACCAGTATATTGTTAATGACAGCTACGACCGTTGGTATTAAGCCTGAGCGTTCCTTTAGAATGTTGGCAGTCAAATTCCTAAAGCCGCTTAACCCATCCGGAAACACAATTCGATCTGTGAAGCGTTCTGGAGTGTGAAAGGCTTCGGATAGTACCAGGTTGGAGAAGGACGAGTGTACTATTAGGGATTCGCGGTCTTTACGTGAGAGGTTCTGAAAAATACAAAGGTTTAGGTAACAACATTGAATTTTTAGTATTCAAATTGTATTTTAGGTAACAAAATTGAACTTTTGTTTATAAACTAGGATTTTAGGTAATAAAGTTGACCTTTTGATTATAAAATAGAACTTTAGGTATTGAAGAGGACTTTTATGTATTTGAATTAAATTTTGAGTAACAAAGCGACTTTTAGATATTAATGTTGGCACCAAGTTTAGACATTCTTCCAAAAACGCTTCTGAACCCCTAAACTTTAAAAAATCAATTTACCCCACCCACCTGAAACTCCGGAAAGCTCTTGGCCCACTCGATGACAGTCGACAGAATCTTGGCTCTCCAATACGAAAAGTTCATCTGATCTTCAGCAGCAAGTTGATGTCGTTCAAACCTTTCAAACATATCAAAGGTGGAAAGGTCATCTATCAGTGCCTCATCTATCGAAGCATGAATCGGTGATAAGGTAGAGGTTAACAGTTTTAGGAATTTGCGTTCTTTTACTATGAGGTCCTTCACAATATCATCTTGAATTTCGTTGATCGAGGTCTCTGGCTTCGGTGCGTCGATGATTTTTCGCTTTCGTCGACGTTCTATGTTCAGTTCTGGAAGATATAAGGTTTATATACATCAAGAACATAACGGTTTACCTATATTAATTTATGTGGCGTTATATTGTTATAGAAAGACTGTTTAATTATTTTCGACATAATGCCAATCATTTTTCAAAAAAAAATATAAAAGAACTTCAAAACAAGTGTAATATCCTCATTTTTTTAAGTTTAAAACTTCAGAATTAGGCCTAAAAATTAAAAAACCTTACCAGTTCCGTCCATTCCAACTTGCAGACACTTTTTAAACCTGCAATGCCGACATGAACATCGCATATCTTTATCGATAGGACAATTTCCATCTCCTTTACATGAATACGTCCTGTTTTCTATTAGTACCCGACGGAAAAATGTCTTGCACCCGTTGCAACTTGATACTACAATAAGATTTTTGTTATTTAGGTCGTACTGAGATGACAAAGAGAATTATGAGACGGCATATTGTTCTTTAGAATTTTTACTACTTAAATAATAGATACGAAATCTATTCTTTAGGGTTTTTACTACTTAAAACTAGTTAATGAACTTCATATCCAGCTTATAATAAGGTTTTTTGTAAGAAGAATCAAGTTTATAAGCCTATATCAATATTGGCCGGTAAATTTATATAAAGCAATCTTTTCCTAGTCCATAGATTAAGCTTTCCACCATCGTTTTTACCTAAAAGCAAAACACAAAATTCAAAACCCTTACCAGAATAATGAATCCCAGAAGCGGCGTCTCCACAAACAACACACGGCTCCCCAGGTATGAACTTCTTCAACGCCTCCTGCTTTAACTTCTGCTTCGAAAACGAAGCCACCACCTGTGAAGCGGTTCGATGCACCTGATCTTCGTCGTCGTCATGATGTAGAGCGCGTAGCGAGTTGTTGTCGAGAACGTGGGAACAGTCGTAGGCCATATTGGGCTTGTTCCGCGATTCGGCGGACGTCTCGGCCTGCTCGTAATGATAGATATCATTCGACAACATGCTCGCTTTGGTTGTTATAACATGCATTCTACTTCATATTAGCTGAGAAGTACTGAAAATTAAAGGGTAATTTGAAAATTGAAGTGGGGGGTTTGATTTATATTGTTGTAGACAGTGAAAGGTTAAAATTCACGAGGTAAGAGTTAAAATTTAGAGTTTTATCGATGAAAAACAATGCTTAATATTATAAAATAATATTTTCTGTTTAAGGTGTAAAAATAGACGTTAAAAATAGATATTTAAGGCTTCACAAATAAAAATTCAAATATTCACGTTAGAAAAAGCAAAAATCTTAATAAAATCAGAATGAAAAGTGAAAGAACTAAAAATAATATCAAAAACCATACAGAAAATTTAATTTCCATTAATATAAAGTTTTCAACTGAAGAAGCAAAACTTTGTCAAAAAAGAACGAAAAAGTGCGAAAAGAGCGTCAAAACGACTCAAAAATTGATAAAACTTATCAAAAAGGTATAAAACAAAGTCGAAAGGATGTTAAATTTTTAAAATAAGCTTAACTTTTAATTAAAACTAAATAATTTTAAAAAATTAAATTAAAAAATAAAACAAAAGCCCAAAAAGGGGAGAAATTTTTAAAAATCGTTAAAATTAATATTTTTAAAAATTTTTTGACCTGAAACTAACAAAATCGACCAATTTCAAGCTCGTATTTTACCTTGCCAACCCAAAATACTCGTATATTGCATATGAGCGTATGTACAAACTATAACACAAGGTTTTCAGCAGCCGCCTCTCGCTATGGGTTTTGCTTGAAAAACTCGCGCGAAATATATGAAAATGCACGTTTTAATCGCCCGTCAATCTGTCTGGTAAAGTTCAAACTGTAAACGCTGGGTTTTTCTTTTTGATACCCATAAAGGAAAAGCGTTTCAATTTGGGGATTAGGGGTATGGTTAAGATGAGTTTTCTTGGTTTTGGTATGGTTTTATTGGGTTTTTCAAATAATTCAGTGCCCCCTAACCCCGAAAATTTGCTTTGAGAGGTTCTCAGAATTATTTGAACGACCTAATATAAAGTTTTATACTATAGAACAACTAAGTAAAAGAAAAATACAAACATTGCAAACACAAGCTTTTCTCTAGTACTATAAAAAAGTACGTACTCATTATAGTAGTACACGTACATGTTTGTATGTACTTGCTCTTGGCAAAACATTATATTATTTCTATACAAGCTTCATTATTAAGCTTCTCATTAAAGAAAGGGCACAGCATTATTTATGGCTAAAAAATGTTGTCACTTACCCTACCCTTTTTTAAAAAAGCTACGCACAAGTTATACCTCAGTACAAGAATAGTACAGATGCTCTACTATAGTATCCATACTATAATAGGCATTATGTAATTATAACAAAAATAATTTAAAAAACGTTCACACAGACCTAATATATCTATATTTATATATATAACCGTCACTATTTCCCAATATCTAATTATAACCCTAATAAACAAAAATAGCCTATGACGAACAGTTTCGAAAACACTGTAACAAAATTGAATTTAGGATTCCATGAAAGCATCATAATAAACAGAGCTTTTCTTGCGAAAGGTCCCACGTTGTGTTTTCGAATCACGATGGCTTCACAAACAAATAAACAACGTTATTTAGACTGTTTTCTTGTACTTTGTCTCATGGGAAAAGGGAAAAATGATCCGCCCGTTCAGAGAATAAAATACAAGCATATGTTTGAGAACATAAAAGTCTGCTACAGCTTAAAATTTTACCTTATAAAAGTATTGTTAGAGCAAGGCTATGGCAAGACTAGAGCAAAGCCATAGCAAAGCTAGAACAAGACTAGGCTAAGGCTAGGGCAAAGCTAAGGCAAAGTTAAGGCAAGCTTACGGCAAGGTTAGGGCAAGGCTAGGGCAAGACTAGGGCGAAGCTAAGACAAAGCTAGGGCTCTTTAGCTTGAGCTAAAGCTAGGGTTAAAGCTACAGTTAAGTCTAAGGCTAGGGCTAAGGTTAAAGCAGGCAAAGGGCTAAGACTACGCCTACGACTAAAGCTATAGCTAAAGCTACGCGGATGAAGGTAGGCCCTTACAAGCTAGATAAAAAGAGTAAAGACTAGTTGAATTAAGGGTAGGTAAAACTATGACTGGCTCAGTATTAGGCTAGGTAAAAGCTACAGCAAGGACTAGGTTTGAATACCTTAACCTAAAGATAACTACCTTTCAGGATTCGTATTGATAGACAATCTATAACACCATAATTAGCTTTAGAGGTATTCTTTAGAAGTGTTTGCATTGTTATTATATTTTAGAAACAATGCAACACTTTCAACGTAAAATTTCACAAAAGCATTCATTACAAAGGACAACGAATTCAAAAAAACAACGATTGCAAAAGATAATACTGATTTTGGCATAACACATACAGTTTAAAAAATTTTGGTGCTAATGTAAAGAAATACACATCCTTTGGGAATATAATACACTACTCTGTGAGGGAATATAATACACTACCCGGTTATGCAAATTTTTAAGAATGGTCGAAAGCAAAAGCGTTTTCATTATTTGATTTTTATACTTGGCGAGTGGTCGCTTAATTTATTGTTTTGGCAAACGGCCACCATGATGTTATGGTTACCATCTTCCGGCGTCAATCTTTGCACGTATGCGATGGACTGATCAACAACATGATAGAAGACGGTCTAATAGCACGCCCAATGTGATGGTATTCGATTCAGCTCAGTTTATTTTAGTTTTTTTCACAAAAACGCTAGGTAAGTCATTCTTCGGTTATATTACTTTTTACCTAGGTTCACTCCATTTTACTTAGGTACACCCCATTTTACTTAGGTTCACTCCATTTTACTTAGGTACACTCCATTTTACTTAGGTACACTTTTTTTGCTATGTTGGATTTTATTCGACTGTTTTACGACCAATTCGGTCGTAGATATAATTTGGAAATGACATGAATTTATTCAAATCAAAATTTGAATAATTTCATCTAGGTGTATTATATTCCCATGTGGTGTATTATATTACGGGGTGTATTACACTACATTAGCCCCAAAATTTTTATCACCCCAGCTTTTTATATTTCTAGATATCATCACCCTTTCTATGTACGTCTTACCTAAATCAATAGAAAAAAAGAGTTTAAAACTAAAATGCACTTCCTTTCAGACTAGTTGACAAAGCACAAAACATAGTGTATTATGAATGTAGAAACCTAGTTCCCGGTCCATTCCCCGCATTAAAATTATTAATCTACCGAAAAGAGTGCATGAAGCCCAGGTGTGCGGAATAACAAATTTTAATTCCATACAAACGGCGGCAAAGGATGGTGTTATTCCAGACACTTACATATTATTCATGTTAAACAGCCACGTAATATGCCGTATGTTAGCGGGTTCTAGCACGTTAGGCATGTAGGATATTGTACTCTTACAATTGTCTACGTGATGATTTTTGAACGATTTTTTTTTCAAAACTTCGGAGTTACAGTATGGGGGAGCGAGAATGGGGATTGCTACGTAGAAGTAGATTAAAGTTAGTTTGCTACTAGAGTAATTTATGTTAGAGTTCAAGAGGCATTGCAAGACTGTTTATGAGTAAAGTGAGGTGAAGTAAGGCAAGTTAGGGCAAGTTAAAGCAATGTAGAATCAAGCAGGGCAGGGCAGGATAAGACAAAGGAAAGTAAAAGAAGGCAGGTATAAGACAGAGCAAAGGCAGGACAAAGGTAAAGCAAAGGCAGGTCAAAAGCAGGGCAAAGGCAGAGGCTAGTGCAAGTTTAGAGCAAGGCTAGGGTGAAGCTAAAGCAAGGCTAAGGCAAAAGCAGAGCCAAAACAAGCATAAGCCAGGCGAACGGCAGGGAAAAAGCAGGACAACGGCAGGACAGTACGCAGAAGCCCTAATAATATGTGAACCCTATGAAGCGGTCAACCAATTCGAATACTTTTTTAATCCGAATTTGAAATAAATTTTAAAGGTTTCTTCATAAGGCTCGGATTTAAATCCTTGCCGTTTTTCGTAGAATTTAGTGACAAATTCTCGTCAACAAAAATCTCAGAAAAAAAGTTTGAAATTCATAAATTACAGTAATCCTGAGGCCACGCACTATCCTAGATTACCCTACTCTACTTATCTATATAGAATAAAAACCCTCCCCTCCTTCTCACAATAGTTATACCAAGCAATACAATAGGTATACCAACCAATTCTTATTAGATTATGCAAAGTTGAACCTTCACATTAAACCCACCTGTACATATACCTAGCAATTGTAAGTCTAAATTCGATTTAAATATGGTTTATGTGCTTAATTTTCACATTTTAAACTCTAAACATACATTTTACACTCCCAACCTAATTAAACATTGTACGAACAGTGTAAATTACTACGTCTGCTTTAAATGTGTGAAGTTTCATAAGACATGTTGTACCCTTGCCCTATACTTTTAAATTTAAAATAGAGCTCTATTCTTCTTTTGTTCATGAATGAGGTGGTGTTTCAATTGTAGTGTATTGAATAGAGACGTAAAGATATTGACACAAAGATAATGTATAAATAAGTGCCATTAAGCAAATTTAAATTGAAAATTCTACGTACTTTTCGACCAACTTTTCGAAATTATACCCATTTTATGACCAAACTCTTCACCCTAAGATACCCTACCCTACCCTACCTTACCCTACCCTATCCTACCCTACTCTATGCTACCCTCTCTTCTACTCTACTCTATTATCCCTACAGTATGTCCTTAACGCCTACTTTAACCTATCCTGCTTTACTCTTCCATAACCTGCCTTACCTTATCTTACTTTAGCTTGCCTTGCCTTATTGTATCCCTACCTTACCTTCTTTTACCCTGCTCTATTCTATAATATCTTAAATTACCCTACTCTATTTTACTCTAACCTACCCTATCCTACTTCACACTCTTTATCCTACCCTACCCACACATACCGTATAATGAAATTTATGTCCTTTATAACCAAAGTAGTACAGTAGCACCTTTTCCTTTCCAAAAGT